GTTCCGGGCATATGACGATCGAATCAATGGCAATATTCGCGCGTTGCACCGCTGAGCGTTACCGTCGCTATGCGGACACACTGCGTAAACTGCGCTGAGTAAACCTGCACGCGAGCACAAGCATGCGGGCGCAGTTAATGAATTACTACCCGCGCTGCCTCTCGCACACACAGAAATCACACGGCGTCGTTGCCCTCTGCTAAAGTTGATTACTGGCTCGCCCGAAGAAAAACCCTGCGTGACCCGGAGCAAAATACCCAGCGAGCAGCATCCCACCTGTCTCTATCCAAACCCTCGGGGAACCCTCGCGCTATTCCTGCCTGGGTTGAGTTGTAGCTGCATTCGCCAGCGTCTCTCGGACGCTCGAGCGGCTGGGAGTCCGACTGGGTAGCTGGCTGACTGGAGGAGAACTGACCATCTCTCCTCTTCCCTCCTTTTATCTCTTCCCAATTCAAAAATCCCTGGCCAAGTTGTGTTGCCCTCCCAACCAATCGGGCCCGACCTTCCCACCCGCGCAGAGCTGGGCAGCGAGCAATAACCTGCTGGCCAATCGGGCACCTACCTGGCGTGTGGCTCTCACTTGCTTCACAACCCGTTGTTCACGTGCCCGTCGTTTTCCTCCCACTTGCTTCCTAACCCATTGTCTAAGTGTCCATCCTCCCTCCCATACTCTTGGTTGAGGTTTTTAGCTTTAGCCAGCTCGCTAGGTGCTTTGCTCTCCCCACGGCCTTATTCTCCTGTGTTTGGTGTGTTCTCATTGCGGTTGCTCGGTGAGCTCGCCGTGGCCATACAATTTTAAGTTAATCCACGGGGCCGCAGTGCAATTCGGCCTGGGGGGGGGGGGGGGTCGGCCAATCTCCTGGCACTGGGAAACCGTGGGACATCCCCACGAGGGGGCCCTCGGGTAAAAACACAGGATGACAAGTGACCCCCCCCCCCTCCCCACGAGGCTTAAGCTATGGAAGGGGCGGAGTGTATTTTGGGTGTAGGGAGATGGGAAGGATGTGTGAGTGATTTGTGTGACGATTGTGATGACGGCGTGAAGATGGGATGATACAGCAGGGAAAGACAGATAGGATGGGGGAAGATAAGGGGCAAGGGCATTTGGGGGTTGTGGCAATGGGTGAGGGTAGGCCTCGGCAAGGTCAGGTAATTTACCCTTTTTACCAGGTAAAAGGGTAAAGGTAAAGGGGTCGACATGCCAAGGGGTAAAGTAAAGGGTAGGGTAAAGGTAGCTCGGAATAATTACCCGGTAGGGTAAAGGTAGCGCGAAGTATTATACGGTAAATACGGTACCTTGTTTACTGCTAGAAGCTCCGTGGCGCAGTCCATGGCCTCCATTTAATAATTCATATTTTAAAAAAACTGTTTTAAAAACACTCTTTTATTAAAAGTACTCGTAATAGCAGAACTCCACAACTCCAGGAAGTGGCCCCGAGGCTTGCCATAACGTAAGGGGCCGTGGTGATTTACAGCCAACGTCAGTTGAGCGTGGACAATTAGAGCCAAGCCGAAATATAACATATAAAAGAGATCGTTTAAAATATGTATTTTTTCGTGATATAATATAGTATTGTCACCATTATGACATACGTATACCAAATTTGCAGTCGATATCACACTAGGAAGTGGGTAAAAATTGAGTTACAAGATTTGAGGATATGACAGCGACGACGACGACAACAATGACAACAACGACAACAACAATAACGACAACAACAACAATAGACAGGGAGTTCAAAGAAAGCGTGTAAAATTGGAATCATCGAGAGTATTCTATATGAATAAAGCGCTCTCCCTAGCATTTACCGTTATAAACCTTATTCATGTCGTAGTACCCCAGTAATTACCCTGTAATCGGGTAATTTGTATGGGGTAAGGGTAAAAGGTAGGCTCGTTGCTTTTTACCTTTTACCTTACCTGCTGAGGCCTAGGTGAGGGTGGTTTAAGCACGAGGTGGGCCGTTTGGAGCCCCAATCACGCTTTGTGTGCACGTTAGTGCCGTGCGTGAGCGCGTGTTGCACAATGGCAGCGTCCGCACACTCGGGCATCACAATCCAGCAATGTGCAAGTACCCCTCCATCATGATGCCATGTTGCCAAATCACAAATAGTTTATAACACACTCAGCCTGTGTTTTAAAGCCAAAGTTGGGGCTGCAGATTATAGTTGCGTGTCTGTGCGATACCAGATTTGTAATACATTATTGACACCGGGCACACATTTAGGGTGCGTCTTATATTCCGGAGCGTCGTAATCCGGAGAATACGGTATTGGCTGTGGCACCGCACCTTGTTGTTCTTCCGGTGGTTTATTGAGACTGTAGACTTGTTTTGGGAACCTGAATGAAATCGAGCACAACAACCAGTCCAACACGCTGGGTTTTAGTCACCATTGTTTAAATGGTTGTCTTGCCAGGTTCAAAAAGGTTACTTGGCTTTGTTCTGTTGACTTGTCAGCAGATTTGCAGCATAGATCAAAGAGACCATTGATGGAATCTCTCAAGCTGATGGACGTGTCACCTGCATGGTATTCAGGTTTTACAGCCATACACTAGTGTGCAAGTTGCCTGTTAGACAATTACTTTTGTATGGCCCGTATCAATCACTGTCTCGTCGTGGACAATGCTACAGAGGCTTGGGAGAGGTGACGTTGAATCTCCTCATCTACAGTGACATTTTGATGAAGGTCGCTGCCAAGATGAAGGAAAAGCTGACCGTTTCATAGGTAAATTGCTTTTTATTCATTGTGGAGGTGTAGGGGAGGAGCCATGGGCTGGTTTTAAAAGTACCTGGGTCTTTAGAACATTCACATCCTGTCCATACTGGTCATAGGCATTAAAAAAAAATCCAACATTGACGATAGGTCAGGCCTCGCAAGAGCTGGCATAGCACAATCGTCACCTTACTGAGGGTCAGTGATTGGCATTGTTCTGACTTTTGATTTGGCCTGTAGACATCAAGGGTTGAAGGGCTTACCATCAGCATGGTACTCTTTATGCAAACCATGTGCACATCAGGCCTGGGAAAAGAAAGCAGCAAGAAAGATGAAGAAATGTGTCGGTGGAAGGAAGCATTTATCTTACTCTGAGTTCTGACAGTAAAGGATTCAGATTGTTATCCACATTCATCATGTATCTGCTGAAGAGAAAATCATATTAGAGGTCCAAGACAAGTACCAGAAGGAAACAACAGCGAGAATATGAGGAGGCCCATCAAGAGCCATGAGTAGTGAGGGGATCAGGACAACGTTATGGGAAAAGAACAAAATAAAACGTGGAAAAAAAACAGGTGACTAAATTAAACTATGGGGAGGTTGACAGAGTTAGTGAAAAGTTGTGTTCGACAGCAGCAACATTAAGCACCCAGAAGCCTTCACGAAAGCACTTACACAATCTTTATTTGAAGCTTCCGTGACTGCAGGAATCCAAACTCTTTGGTTAGTTAGAAATAAAATAAAACAAATTATTTGACTTTACCGAAAGAACCAAAGATTAAACTTACACACTTGTAAAAGTCGAAAATCGTATTGTTACACAGTTTCATATTTTCCATAATAAAGTTTTTTTTGGTTATTGGTTGTGAAAGCCTCCATGTTAAATTGCATATTTGGTTAATTTACAAACTCCAAAGGGTAACCAAAAAATGGATGATCTGATAACATTTGTTTCTGAAATACACAATCATATGGTCAATGTGTTTAGCATTGTGAAAGGAATGTGCTGGTTGTTACAGGCAAGACCAATACAAAGTGGAAAAAAGCATACCGAAGTCATTCAAAAAATGGAGGTTCTGTGAATGAGAAGTAACAAAGTGAACACGTAGGCTCTCGTGACGAAGCTGGCTGTCTCCTGACGAAGATAGCTGAAATTACTGGCAAAACGTCGTACTCAGATTGGCAATGTTGTGGCTTGGCTCTCCATCACTCCGGCGTGCTGTACTAGTAACGAATTGGCACGTTCTGTTTACGTGACAAAACGTACTAATTGGCTGTCGGGTAGCGGCGGGTTTAATGACACATTTATATAGTCACACGATCTAACCGAAAAAAAATGTACAATGAAAAGTGACATGTTTATTTTTTGAAATATATAGTAACTTTTTAGTGTAAAACCCAACTAGGTTGCAACCATTCGCAGATTAAATAGTTGACCACATTCGTTATTATTAGCTATTGTCTACCAAATGCTGATTGGAGCCCTCCTCACACTGTCGCCATTCCACAGTCAAGTGCCACCTTCCATCTCACTTCTGCACATCACTCTGTCTCCACTGTAAATGTTCTTTAGAATGTATTCAACAGTCCAATCAGTGAACACTCAATATTCACATTCACCAGAAATGGACAAAATTCCTGACCCATGTTTGGTGAATTTGCAAACTCCAAAGAGTAACCAGAGAATGGATGATCTGATAAGATTTGTGTCTGAAATACACAATCATATGGTGAACATGTTGACCATTTTCAGAGGAATGTGCTGGTTGTTATAGACAAGACCAGTACATAGTGAAATAAAGCATACCAAAGTCATTTTTAAAAGATAATTGCTGTGAATGGAAAGTAACACGTTTATTATTTGAAATAGAGCTGCTTTTTAGTTGTGGGAAATAACAAAAGAAAACGTGGGAAAAAACAAGAGACTAAATTAAACCATTGGGAGGTTGACAAAAGAGTTTGTGAAAAGTTGTGTTTGACATCACCAACATGCAGCAGTCGATGCAGCCACGTCGTCAAGTAAATACTATTCACATCGAAATGATAAAGCACTTACTTGTAGTTTTCCCCTCATACAGTTTTGTGCGATATGTTCTTCCATAATGCGCTTGGTATATTTGTTTCTCAGAGGTGACAATCTTACCAATACTTGAGTATATCAATGAATAATTTGTATAAAAAGATTTGCGTTGTCATGTTAACTGTGGCATATGTTCAAACTACTAACCCACAAAAGATTCACGTATGGAGCTTTTATAAAGAAAGCACTTGAAAAACAGTCATAACATGTCACGGTAGATACACTCACACGTAAGACTGTAACACTCCTCCCACACATTGGGCAAGGCTTGGGGAAATGTCAGCCACTGACAAAAAACTGGCTCTGAGCCCGCCCACAGGACATGGATGTACCTTTATAACTGTGAGCGAATTTGACCGTTTGGATCAGGCTCGACAAGACTCCCCTCAAAACATCTACTTGACGGAGCTCCTTCATCTGGTATCAGCAGTGTAACAGATGCCTCGCAACTAAATTGTTTAAATTCTTCTAAATTGTTTAGTCTACTATACCAAAAGGGTCTGTAAAAAGCAAAATAGATAATATCCATATGTTGAAGCTGTTTTAAAAAAACTAGCTAAAGTTATTAAGGATAGTGTTTATATGATACTTTTTATTTAAGAGAGTCTGCAACATTAATCTTAATCGCCTGCTACATTACTCTTAATCGCCTGCTTTTGAATATTTTATAGTGTGCCACAGTGGCGAGATGTTAACTACCTCGCTTGGTATACACGAGGTCGTGGGCTCGATCTTGACCGTGTTGTCTGTATATTTGGAGTTTGCATGTTTTTCCCATGGTCGTGTGGATTTTTCTCCAGGTCCTCAAGTTTTTCCCTCTACACTTAGAAGCATGCGTTTAGAGTATTTGGCTGCTATACATTTCCACGTCATGATAAGCCACTTCGTTGAGCTTTCATTTGTGGCAAGGTTGCTTCTGAAAAAGAGTGTATATCGCTCAGTGGGCTTCACCTGGTTAAATAAAAAAGAGTTAGTTTTAGTTAATATGTGCATCGAAAAGTTTTTACCACTAACCACGAATGGAAAGATAAAGAGTCTTCGGGTTTGCCGTTACTTAACTGTAAAAGTGTAAAACGGCAGTGTTTAAAATGTGATGGTAATAAACATGTTTTTTTGCTCACAATCTACCGAAATGTTGATAAAAAATACAGATTATAAATATATTTAAATGGACATAAAGTACATTTGTACGTCAATAATCTAAACACAGCAACGACGAATAAAATGGAGACCAAAGAAAAAAAATCTGGTATCGTCAAGAGAAATTTTTTTTTTAAGTTACGACGGTTAAACCAAGATGACCAAATCAGATGGAATGTGCCTGATCTCCTCAGATCTGAGAAATAAAGTAGATTTGAGCCTGGGAAGTATTTGGATGGGTGACAACATGCGTACAGCAAATATTAGACACTCATGTGGGGCCACATTGTGGGCAAGCAGAGGGCAGTGGAGCAAAATCAATTGTTGTACTATATTGTGCTCCCACGTCTATGATCCCTGGCTTCACCAACCTACACTAACCAGCGTGGTGAAGTATGGTCAAGCCACCTCCATGGCCTGCACGGCGTGGCGAGGACCTTATCCAGCAGTAGATTAACAAAGGGCTGCATATGCCATTGTACAGTCATTTATTTAGTTTTTAATGCATATTTGTCAAAACAGTGCACATGGTAGCTTTTGTGAACTTTAGTGAGAAACTTTAGGTGGGAGACAATATGACAGAATGTGGCTTTATCTACGTGTTGGTTCCATATTTTGATATTTTACAGCCGTGCTAATTTCTCAACATCATGGTTAACAGATGTAGGAGTTCTACCACTGGTAAATGTTCGAATGTTTTAACATTTTTGTACCTTGCTTTTTTAAGGTGAGATAGCTTCAACAACATCGAGTCATGAATATTGCAATGAGCATGCTGTGCCTGATGCTGTTCATCGTTCACGCACAAAGTGAGTTTCTCAGCTGGAAATGAATTGTGACAAAATGTGTTTTGTACTTGTTGCTTATGTATGTTGAACTTGTTTGTTGAACTTCTTCCGCACCGTACGTAGCCAACCTTGCTATTCGGAGGTGTAGAATATATATAGCACACTACCAAAATAAATAACATGGCTATTGCAAGAACATTTCAAGTCGAGCTTCTGAGTCGCAACTGGAAATTGTCTCGTCTTTTCATAAACATGTGAGTTATAAATAGTTGTATTATTTATATAGTATTGTTTTCCTACATTTATTCTTGAGTCACGATTTCAGTTGTAAACGTCAATTTGCGTGATCATTAGCCATAATCTATCCACTGCTGGATGAAAGCATTTCCAAGCTGTTGCCATCTCTAATAGCCTCATGATAACAGTTCGTGTAGATCCTGTACACAAGTTTATTGGATCCATCTCTGTCTTCATTGGCAATCCCCTTGGATGTTCTCCCTCATTAGGCTGCCATTCCATCTTTAGTCCCATTCCTTCGAGTAATGTCTCCTGTCCTAGCCCATTTACTTCCTAAAAAGTGAATGTTCTCTTATCTGTGTGTTGTTGTTCCTTTTGCTTTCTCTAAGTGTAACTGCAAGCAATGCATCTCCCCATGCTACTATTCAGCCCTTGTTCCATTTTGCTTGTCAATGTCCATGTTACACATCCATTTGGCATAGCAGATAATGTTCACTGATTAAAAACGTGCGTCTTCAGCACAATGGTATGTTTTCCAAAAGCACTTCAACCTGTTCTCGTCCATTAGAGATGAGGCTGCTTACAAAAAAAAATCAACTGATTGTTAATTAAATGTTGAAAGAAGACTTCTCCCAACCAATATTAGTCAGAGGGATTTGTTTGACCATAATTCACCATGTTGGTCAGCACAGGATGGTAATGGTTGTGAGTGTGGGGGGTAGGGGGTGCAGAACTGGCTTATCTAGCTCCACCCTGCATCTAATAATACATCAGTATAATGTGTGTCTGTGTTTTCATATTTTACAGCACAGGATTCAGACAAGCCTCCGCAAAAAGAAAGAATATTTGGTATGAGTAATAATTGCACAACTTGTGTTTTGTTATTCTTGCCCCATTGCAAAGGAAGTAGGAGTGGTTTGACTCAACGTAAAGCGTAGGTTTGCCATGATACGACTATAACAATATACGATCCACAATAATCGCACGGTCTACAGTGATACCTCGGTTCACGAACGCTTCTGTTCACGAACAACTCGGTTCACGAACAGAAAAGTTCATAAAAATATGCTCCGGTTCACGAACTCCGCTTCGGTTCACGAACAGGAGCCGCGGCCATTTTAATGCTATTTCCAGGCTGTCACATGGTCGTGACTTCCTGTAGGAAGATCGTGGAGAGAAGAAGAGACACAGAAAGAAGTACTGTGAGTACTGTGAAGACACTTTCAGTGACTTTTTGCTTTTTGGTGTGCTTTTTAGCACATACAGTACTGTACTGTACAATACTGTACTTACTGTATTGTACAGTTCACCCGTTTGAGTGCTTACTGAAGTCATCTCAAGCAAGGTTAGTGTTCTCTCTTTATACATTACTATACTGTACAGTACTAATGTGTATTGTAATTTGTTTCATATTTTTGTGCTTCAAAAACCAAAAAAAAAGGTCAGAACGGATTAACCGGATTTACATTGAACCCTATGGGAAAATGTGCCTCGGTTCACGACCAATTCGGTTCGCGACCAGAATCAGTTCACGAATTAAGTTCGTGAACAGAGGTATCACTGTATTTTGTAAATTACAGTAATGATTATAAACATTTGGTTTTTCGATGCACACACTTTTATTTGCACTCAAAAGTAGAAAATACATTATTTTGACCCCAGAATTAATCAAATTTGATGTGCTGAATAAACGTTGGTGGTTTCTTTTAGATGTGTTTAATTTGCTTTATGCAAGCCACCCACTTTTATTCAGCATAACAAATTTGATTAATTTTGTGTAGAGGAGCTCACAAATCCTTGAAAGATCTGGGCAAAGTCCCATCGGTGAGCTCCTCCGGCAGGAAAGGCTGCGTTGGCTGGGTCACGTAGCCCGCATGCCCAGCCACCGCATGCCTAAACAGCTTTTGTTCAGCCGGATCGAGGGGGCTAAATGGGCGCGGCACGGGCTAGAGAAGAGATGGAGTGATGTGGTACAGGAGGACGTGGGGATGAGTGGACTTGCCGATGACTGGTACCAGCGGTGTCAAGATCGGCCTCTGTGGAGGAGGCTCGTGAAGGACGCTACTGGGCAGTTGGAGGCAGTCGCCCTCCAGCAACAACGGAGGGAGGAGGAACGACGCTCACAACAACGAGCGGAGCGCCGGGTGGCTAAAGCACAGCAAGTTGGCACAGTAGGGGGCACAGGTGGTGCATCAGACAGTCATCTCGGTCATCTCAGTCAGTCGACCCAGTGGCACCTGGGTCTGCCCCGTGACCTCCTGCCAGCGGGCGTTCGACAATTCACGTGGCCTCAAGGTGCACATGGCTTGGCACAAGCGTCGTGGTGACGTCACCGCCAATTAGTGGTGAATGGCGGTTGTTGTTGTGTGTGCAAGTATGTGTGTGGGTCAATGTCTGTAAGTGTGTAAGCCGATGTGTGTGTCTGTCTTTTTCGCTCGGGCAACGCCGGGTACTTCCCTGCTAGTAGGTAAATAAATGTTATTTTAGTGGACATCAGCCCAGAGAGCCACTTTGCAGCCTCTTCCTCCAGCACGTGCAGGGTAACCAATCTGCCCGGCACTCCCTGACGCATTTCGCAACCGATGACGACGGTGCGCCATGGACTTCTGACTCCCTGCATTCACACAGTGGGCTGTCACGTAGGCCCCATCGATGTTCGGAAGCAGCACACACTCCCTGATCACACCAGTAGCAGTTTAGCTGTAACATACATATAAAGCTATTATCTCTGGCTTGTATATCTTGCTGATGTTACAGTTCGTAAAGTGATTTACATTGTTTTTCAGGTACTATTTTATACTTCATCAAGCAATGTGTGGGATTTTTTTCTAATAAGGGTAAGTGACATCTTAATTTTACCAATCGCATTCCTAATTTAAGGTGCACACAAATATATTGGTGTATATATCAAATTAATATGAATCTATATCGCTGCTTGAATGTAATGACACACTGTTAGTGACAAATGTGTTTTTGTGAGTTAATTATTTGACATGACATTTAGGTAACAAGTTTAAACACTAGAAAATAATGCCTACTGTTTATTAGAAAATCATCACAATATCCAATGTTATTAAGTTGTAAATTAGGACTGTTTTTATTTTTTTCCAAAATAAAGTTCAGTATTGCGATCTGTTATATTAACATCATGACAAATAAATATAGAGCATTCAACATAAATTACTAATCATGCGGTAACATATTAACTTGGTGAGGAATGGAATTTTAACAACTAGAATAATGTAACAGACAATGAAGGTCAGAATCACTGTCGAAAGAAGTGAACCAAATCACAAACGAGTGATGAACCCTGCCAGTGGTAGCATAGAGAGAAAACAGGAAAATCGCAGAAGGGTAAAGTGTACTTTGAGGCTCTATATTGTCAAGAAGGAAGCCAGTCAGACATGACATAGAAGAAGAGGAAAAGGTGGGACTTAGAAGCCAAGGTTCTTGTTATTCTCAAAAGTGAAAGTCGTCGCAGTAATCAAAGGCACGAAGCCAGCGACGGCAGCAGGATTTGACGGAATGCCTTCAGAAATTATAAAGCGTTTATGTGAAGAACCAATGTGTAATTTGCCTAGATTTTGTGAACTATTCGTATGAGACAAAAAAAGTAGCAACATATTTAAATGAATTACATTTCCCCAATTCTAAAGAAACCAAATGGAACTAACGTCTCAGAGTTAAAAATAATTAATATCATACCAGATGGCAATGGTTCTGCTTAACATTATTTAATCAAGGATCAAAATCAAAACAGAGGCATACATTGCAAAGGGCCAATTTATTATCGTATTGGGAACAAGAGAAACAATTGGAGTAATAAGAATGATCGAATAAATGTGCTTCGAGTTTATCCGAGAAGTTTATGTTTGTTTACTTCAATCAGAATATATTGTTCAATGTACTCAATGAAATCAGAGTAGACTGGAAAGATAGACGGCTAATTGTGGGCTTGTACATTGGTCTAACATCAACAGTGCAAGTAGTAGTATTGTACGATGCGTCTTAAATATATGAAGTTTGAAATATTGTTTCGGTATTTATTATGATTTACATATTTTTTTATTGACAATTAGTTATTTTAGTTTTAAAATTGTATACATTGATGCGATGCACCTTGTGATATGGAGGTCACTTAATGTCTCTTTTAAAAAATATCCTTCAGCAAAAGGGTTTACCTGCCAAGTGGGAATGGAGGATGAGTTGAGTACAGTACGTTGTCTCCCTGAACAAGGATCCTGTGTCACTGCAAACGTAACTGTTGGTAAGGTGAACCTCACTGTTGTGCTACCTTCATACCAAAAAATATTTTTTGTCTTCTCTATATATTGAAAAGTATATCACTTGGTCTGATTTTCTTAATATATTTTATTCTTAAACAGGGAATTACACATTCACTTACAAGAGCTGTGCTTCGGACCTGGATTGTGTCTTTAAAGAACGCATTCGAAAAATGGTCCTCAACGATGTGGTAGATGCATTTGAGGATACTCGTGGGTGCATCCTAAATGGTTATGAATGCAACAGCGCCCCACATGGTGGTCCACCTCGTTCCTTGGCTCTGCTTATCCCTCCCATTCTATCCCTCCTTGTATTTTGCAGCTAAATTTCTCGCAGGCCTAGGTACGCACAATTACCCTACCTTTGCTGTTAAATGTGGGACTAATCTATTCAAAAAGTAGTTGCTCTTAAAATTTTCACAAGGGGTACTCATTTTATGTACCTCATGATTATAATGTAATGCGTCAACCTGCCAACTAGGATATTAACGCAAGATCTCTGGATTGTTCATCTGGATCTCCACCACACCATCTCTAGACTTTCAAATAGGAGTTTTACTTTAAAATGGTATCAGTTATTCACGAGGCAAAACAATCTGCTCTGTGCAATGCAATACATAGTTAAAGCAATTATGTAACAACAATGTACAATTGGGTTAGAGTATTCAGTCCACAGCTTAAAGCTTGTAATTTCAATAGCAGTCAGGGGAAAGGCATATTCCAAAGTTTTAAACTTATTTTTGTTTGCAAATAACAACCATCAATGAATGTGTACGTTGATGTTACGTTATTGCAATCACAATGAGTACTTTAATCCGTGTTTATAATAATCAAATATGCTTTTAATTGTAACCCCCCCCCCCCCCCCATAAACTTATGACCATGATAAGCACTGAACAATAGTGCCACACGTTCCTTTCCGCCTCTACTACAGCGCCTCTCTACTGAGGAATGCTTTTGATTTTACTTAACAGGAAGCTAATTTAAAAGCTCATAGTAAGATTGGATTGGTGTAGAATGGTAGTGTAATAGTTCACACACTGCAATTATGAACCTAGAGACCTGGGTCTGATTCCCGTCCACGACTGCAAGGCACGTGGTGGTTTTTAGTGAGCAGTGGATTTATAAAGGAACGTTTAACTGAATCATGAAAAAACAAGTAAACGATCTATACTTTCATCAATTTGTAATGCCCTTGAACAAATGTAGTTTATGCTGGAGTATATTGCATCTAAATTAGCTTCCACTTCCCGAGTGGAAGGATAAAGCCCTCTCCAGTTCACCCGCTCTGCTCTTCCACGCCCGTGGTTGCTGCCACTCCCATTGTGCAGCTTCCTTGAACCAACGATAAGCCCATTCATGAACTATGAGACAGCGTTATGGGTTATATTTTTTTATGTTAAAGTGTGTAACTAGGTGTGTATTTGTCATGTTATCGCAGATTGGGAAAACTATGTTAAGAAATTTCCGTAATTTAATTTTTTGGGAAAATAATGGTGGTATGAACATGTGTTGTTTTTGTAATGACGTGTGATATTGCTGGAAAATATATAATAAATGTTGCCTTTCAATATTGTGCGAAAACAGTGTTCATGTAGCTTGTTTATAGCACCTTTAACTTTTTTTTAAAGCACATACATTTCTCCTGCAAATATCGAAACAATTAAGAAACATTGGAACCAATGTTCGTTCTCTAGGTGTTGGGGCGCCGCCCCACCAAGAAGCTGGAGATGAGAATTTTTATTTTAAATAATACGTTTCTGTAAATAGTTTTGTCGTGTTAAAAAATAAATAACGATTATTTAAATGTGAATTGCCGAATGAAAATCAAATGTAAAGTTAATATTATAAACTGCTGCAACATCACAGTCTGATTTGTGCCCTCGGGGAGGTCTCGGTGCAGCTGTGAAGGCGTCCGAGTGAGAGATTTCTCTTCATTCATTGCGATGAGCTTCGCATTTTAGCCACACCATTACCATTTGAGACCCATTCAGGGAGGTGAAAAGGGTGCCCGTGGCTGCAATGAGATGATGTAACAATGTGAGGTTGCACCGTGCAAATGTAGTGGGTTATATTCAGGTGCACACTGGAAGCTTGGAGGCAACACTAGTTATTAGCTAACACAACAGGTAACACTTAACACTAACAGGATAACGACATAGGGTGGTAGCCACCGTTCCTAACTTAGTTAACACACGGGGATACTACATTACTCGACCAGGACAGCTCAACACGCTGCCTGGTCCACTAGAGGAGACCGGAGATCGTGGATGGCTGTTTCATTCCCACAGTTTTCACTTAAACCCAATTCTACTACTGGTAAACTATCTTTGTCTTTGACAATCACATTTGCACATCACTATTCGAATATTACTTTAATCCTAAGCTGTATGTCTATCTATACCACCCCGTTATATCGGTATCTAACACCCAATATATGTACTGTATGTGTACAGTATACGTACTGTATATCACAATTGTGCAGCTTACTACTTTACATGTGTTCTATTTTCAATCGCATTGCACGTAGTCATACTCTGGGTACATGGTCAGAGTTATAGACTAAACAGTATTAGAGTTAGAGAATTACAATGACAGTAGGTAATTATAGTGCGACATCCCTTTACAATGCACAGTGCTAAAACACCCCTAATTGCATATAATCACAAACAAACAATTCAAAGCCAAGCTTAAAGTCTAGAACATTTATATAACGATCAAAAACAACCTTTGGGTCCATTACCTGTAAAATGCACCAGCGCATGTCACACACAGCTAGTCTTCCGAGCCGCCATTAACCATGTGGCTGGTATATCCGCGCGGTCTTTCAATAACCCTGCCAGCCACCTACAGGCCCAACTCAGTCATCACATGCTGCTGTACACACATGCATTTATGCACTGCGCAGCACATCAGGACGTTCACAGAACCACACTTTACTCCCTTGCTGCACAAGGATATAATTAATAGAGTGATCCATTCCTAATGTGCCACACAGAGAATAGTTGCGTGTCTGTGTGATACCAGATTTGTAATATATTATTGACACCGGGCACACATTTATTGTGCGTCTTATATTCCGGAGCATTGTAATCCAGAGAATACGGTATTGGCTGTGGCACCGCACCAAGTTGCTCTTCCGGTGCTTCATTGAGACTATTGACTTGTTTTGGGAACCTGAATGAAGTCGAGCACAACAACAAGTCCAACACGCTGGGTTTAGTCACCATTTTATAAATGATTGTCTTGTCAGGTTCGAAAAGGGTACTTGTCTTTGTTCTGTTCACTTGTCAGCAGATGTGCATCATAGATCAAAGAGACCATTGATGGAATCTCTCAGATGATGGAGGTGTCACCTGCACGGTATTCAGGTTTTGCAGCCATACACTTGTGTGTAAGTTGCCTGTTAGACAATTACGTTTGTATGGTCACTGTCTCTTCACGGACAATGCTGCAGAGGTTTGGGAGAGGTGACGTTTAATCTCCTCATCTGCAGTGACATTTTGATTAAGGTAGCTGCCAAGACTAAAAAAAAGCTGACCGTTTCATAGGCAAATAGTCTTTTTATTCATTGTGGAGGTGTAGGAGAGTAGTCCATTGGCTGGTTTTAAAAGTACCTGGGTCTTATGAACATTCACATCCAGTCCATACTGGCCATAGGCGTTCACAAATGAATCCAATATTGACTCTAGGTCAGGCCCTGTAAGAGCTGGCATAGCACAATCGTCACCTTACTGAGTTTCAGTAATTGGTATTGTTCTGACTTTTGATTTGACCTGCATACATCAAGGGTTGAAGGGCTTACCATCAATATGGTACTCTCTATACGCACCATGTGCCTGGGACATGAAAGCAGCAAGAAAGATGAAGAAACGTGTGTGTGGAAGGAAGCATTTATCTTACTCTTAGTTCTGACAGTAAAGATTCAGATTGTTATCCACATTCATCATGTATCTGCTGAACAGAAAATCACATAGAGGTCCAAGACAAGTACCAGAAGGAAACAATAGCGAGAATATGAGGAGGACCATCAAGAGCCATGAGTAGTGAGGAGATCAGGACAGTGTTATGGAAAAAGAACAAAATAAAATTTGAAAAAAACAAGAAACTATAATAAACCATGGGGAGGTTGACAGAGTTAGTGAAAAGTTGTGTTCGGCAGGAGCAACATTAAGCACCCAGAAGCCTTCACGAAAGCACTTACACAATCTTGATTTGAAGCTTCCGTGACTGCAGGAATCCAAACTCCTTCACTTAAAGGACTTACACTTTTGTGAAAGTCGAAAATCGCGTTGTAACGTAGTTTCATATTGTCCATGATACAGAATTTTTTTGGGTTATTGGTCGCAAAAGCCTACATGTTAAGTTTCATATTTGGTGAATTTACAAATTCCAAAGGGTAACCAAAGAATAGATGATCTGATAACATTTCTTTCCTAAATACACCAGCAGATGGTGAACGTTGTTTACCATTTTCAGAGGAATGTGCTGGTTGTTACAGGCAAGACCAGTACAAAGTGGAATAAACCATACCATAGTAATTCAAAGAAGGGAGGTGCTGTGAATGAAACGTAACACAGTTTAACACGTAGGCTGTCGTGACAAATCTGGCTGTCGCCTGATGAAGCTAGTTGTTATTATTGGCGAAACGTCGTACTCAAAATTGGAAATATTGTGGCTTGGCTCTTCATCATACCGGTGTGCTGTACTACTAACTCATTGGCACGTTCTGTTTACATGACAAAACTTACTAATTGGCTGTGTCGTGTGGTGGCGGGTTTAACGTCACATTAATATAGTCAAGCGATCTAACCCAAGAAACCTGTATAATGGAAAGTAACACGTTTATTGTTTTAAATAAAAAGCGGCTTTTTAGTGGAAAACTCCACTAGATTGCAAACATTTGCAGAGTAAATCGTTGGTTACATTCGTAATTATTAGCCATTGTCTACCAAATGCTGTGGGAAAATAACAAAAGAAAACGTGTGAAAAAACAAGAGACTAAATTAAACCATCGGGAGGTTGACAAAAGAGTTCGTGAAAAGTTGTGTTTGACACCACCAACATTCAGTAGTCGATGCAGCCACATCGTCTCGTAAATACTATCGAAATTATAAAGCATTTACTTTAAGTTTTCCCCTCTTCCAATATTGTGCGATATGTTCTTCCCATTATACGCTTGGTATATTTGTTTCTCAGAGGTGACAATCCTCCCAATACTTGAGTATATGAATGAATAATAACTGAGTGTATCAAAGATTTGCTTTGTCATGTTAACTGTGCCATATGTTCAAACTACTGACCCACGAAATATTTACGTATGATGCCTTTATGAAGAAACTTGAAAAACAAACAGGCAAAACATATCATGGTAGAGTCACTCACACAAAATACTGTAAACCTCCTCCCACAGATTGGGCAAGGCTTGGGGAAATGTCAACCACTGATAAAAAAAACTGGCTCTGAGCCCGCCCACAGGACATGGATGTACCTTTATAACTGCGAGTGAATTTGACCGTTTGGATCAGGCTCGACAAGACTCCCCTCAAAACATCTACTCGACGGAGCTCCTTTTTCTGGTATCAGGAGTGTAACAGATGCCTCGCAACAAAATTGTTCAAATTCATCTAAATTGTTTAGCCAACTATACCAATAGGGTCTGTAAAAAGCAAAATAGATCATATCCAAGGATATATAATACATTTACTTTAGAGAGCCTGCAACATTACTCTTAATAACCTGCTTTTGAATGATTAATAGTGTGCCAAAGTAGCGAGATGTTAGCTACCTCGCCTGGTAAACACGAGGTCGTGGGTTCGAGTCTGATCGTGATGTCTGTATATTTGGAGTTTGCATGTTTTTCTCTGGTCGCGTGGATTTTTATCAAGGTCCTCTCGCTTTTTTTCACACTTAGAAGAATGCATTTAGAGCATTTGGCTGCTATACATTTCCACGTCATGATAAGCCACTTCGTTGAGCTATCATTTGTGGCAAGGTCGCTTCTGAAAAATAGCTATATAGCTCAGTGAGCTTTACCTGGTTAAATAAAAAATAGTTAATTTTAATTTTACTTAATATGTGCATCGATAAGTTTGTACCAGTAACCACGGATGGAAAAATACGAGTCTTCGGGTTTGCCATTACTTAACTGTCAAATAGTAAAACGGCAGTTTTAAAATGTGATGATAATAAACAAAACATTTTGCTCAAAATCTACCGAAAGGTTGATAAAAATGCCTATTCTAAATATATTTTAAGGGGCACAAGGTAAAGTCGTACGTCAATAATTTAAAGACAGTAAGGACCAATACAATGGAGACCAAAGAGAATGATTCTGGTATCGTCAAGAGCAGTTTTTTTTTAAGTTATGATGTTAGAAAGACGATGACCAAATCAGGTGGGAATGTGCCTGATCTCCTCAGGTCTGAGAAATAAAGTAGATTTGAGCCTAGGTAGTATTTGGATGGGTGACAACATGCGCACAGCAAATATTAGACACTCGTGTGGGGCCACATTGTGGGCAAGCAGAGGGCAGTGGAGCAAAATCAATTGTTGTACT